GAGCTGTTGTTTTTCTTACAGACTTTAGGATGATCCCCTGCAGCAAAAGGCTTCAATGGATTCAACAGCAAAGCCTGTCTGCTAATAGCTTTCAAGCATTTAAATCCTCAAATCCCTGGGAAGCAAGGCTATTCCTCAGTCATCAGGCTCATTTGATCTAATAGCACAAACATAAACAAGAGCAAAACCAGGGGACTGAGGGAGTAGAAACAACATTTCCCAGAAACATCCAGTAGATGTGAAGTTATCTGGAGTCCCCAGCATAACCACATCAAACTAGTGAGATATATATGTACTTGGCACATCCGTGCTGCTTTAGCCCTTTTGGAGTATAACCAAAGTAGGAAAAAGCCAGGACAATCTCCTTTTCTGCAGAAGAGGCAAAGCAATATTTGTTTGTTCAAGAGGCTGATGCACACAAATGAGCAATGCACCCAGAGCTTACTGACAGAATGGCTGGATCCTATTTTTGAAGCCGTATTTTTCACAACCTAAAGACGCAAACCTAAGAAGGCAGAGATGGGCCTTGAGTTCCCTCTGGTTTTACTTTTGGTGCATTTCCAGCAGCCTGGCTCCTGTGTTCACTCACATTACCCATGTTGCAAATTCATCCTATACCCTGTGTGTGGAAACCAGCCTCTTGTGAAAGGATTTGCAGCACTCTCCCATAACAAAAAGCTCCGCTGTGCTCTCCTTGTCACTCTATTCTCTGAGGCTCTTGAAGTGGATATACTAACCCATGAGCAAACAAGCTTTGCCAATGAACTTAGATACCCAGTTGCAATTAGGAGGCTGTGGCTGATGATGCATAACACAGAAAAGACTGACAAGACTGAAGGAGTGCCACAAAATGTCATCAGGCATTATCAACTGCCATTGGGCCTGGAGCTTTCCTGGGGAAGCCTGCCAAGGAGGCAAGTGAGTACAATGACTGCGACTCAATGGCAAGTAGTCTCAGACAGTGTAAGAGGCCCAGAGTTGTCACATATAAATCTCCAAAGACTGGTGAAAACAGCTAGTGAAAGCAAGTGAAGCAGCAGGGAGAGAACTCAGGAGGCAAATGTTAGAGCATCACCGAACCATATGCAACCCTACAAAGATAATGGCCCTAAATTACCTCTCACTTGCATTGGTTCATTAAGAATTTGATAGAGCTGTACTGGTGCCACTGAAAGCCTATTCAGAGAGCTAAGTGGACTCTGGATCAGGCCCTAGGACTGGAAAATATATTAGATCATGAAGTACACTATTACATATTTTATAAGGGAACAGCTATCAATGTCTGCTCCACCCAGAGAACATACAAAAAACAGCTGGAAATAAGAACAGCTGTGTATATCCCAGCCACTCTTTAGCTGCAGTTTCTTCCAGCTACTCCTGTGCTAATGTTAGACATTTCTATGGCTCCCTATTTGTAGAAGGAATCTTTAAACACTGAGTAAACAATTAGGTTCAGTGACATATGAGTAAAATAATTATAGCGTAAATAAGATATGCTTGACACTATTGTTAATTATTTGAGCTAACCTCTGGGTATGCAAATGTGGATGATGAGAGATGTGTTTGCAGGCATCTCTGGTAAGTGCTTCTTACACCACAACTTTTCAACCAAGATTTTGGTCTTTGCTAGCCAGATTTAAAACTAGTCTATGAATACACTGCAAAGGAGAGCATCCGTTGCTGATACAGACGGTTTTTCTATAAAGGTCTTCCGAGAACAATGGTCAGCGGAGATACATAGTGGCTGGAGGTGTTGCTAGTGAGACTACTACTTATTCCTAAAACAGAAACTTTCAGACCTGTACCAAATGACTTGCCTCTTGGGCAAAATATTTCACTCTTACTCAACAGAGCTAATTTTGATCACACGGTGTGCGCAAGACCCATTCGCAAGTCTAACATAATGTCATCTACACTTACAAGAGGGAAAAAGAGATGTATTAATCTGCAGATAGATGGATTCTGTATCTGGAAGTTGGACACCAATGGTGTTCTTTCACCATGATTTTCCTTCTCCTTTAGCCATATAAACTACAGTATGTGTTGCATTATGGCTGCTTGAGCATTGAATCTGAATATCCAACAATTGAGAAAGACATTTTATGGCATATAACCCTGGCTCCCTGGGAATAACAGAGAGGTATTTAATTAATAGGAACTTGCATTTTTTTTCTCCTAAAGATAAATGATAAAAAATACAAAATGCTGTATTTTGCAGAGTGCCCTTGTGAAAGAAAATGTATCTGAGTGGAAAACTTGGCCAGAGTTTTCCATAACACACCAAATTAAACATGAGCTCCATTTGGAAAAGACTTCGAGTGTGCCTAAGGCTGTTTTTAGTACTGCTCATATGGAAACGTCACACCGTGCATGTCTCCATTGTAACCCACACAAAACTGATATTGCTCCCCAGGAATGCAGTCTCATGGCCTGTGCTGGTGAAGTAATGTGTGTCAGTCTTCATGGATAATTGGGAGATTCCTGAGGTTTTAGCTCTCTCGATCAATGCTAGCCTGAAGTTGCATATAGGACAGAGTCTAGTAATTCACTGTCTCTTTCACTACAGCAGAGCTACAGAAGTCTATTCACAAGAGATGACTTTTGGAGTCTAGTGTTTCTAATGCATACATATATCACATATCTGTCCTGAAGTCTTATGTGAAATCCTTCTACCATCTGATATTATCTATATGATAAGAAATAGAATTTGTTCAATCATAACAGAAAAGCCCAAAGCTTATAATATCTGCCAATTTAATGTGAAAGTTGTCATGACAGAGGAATTCCTGGGTGTCACAATGCTGTAATGGCAGCTCCCCTTCCCAACACTTAATAAGAAAGCTATTGCCAATGAAGAGGAAGGGCACAGAGAATACCAGTGATGTTAAGTGTCCGGGCCACAAAGACCTAGCCTGTTGAAATTAGTTTTTAATAAATATGCTAAAACAAAAGAAATTCCTGAACACTGGACAACAGCAAGTGTGGTGCCAAAAGTCAAAAATGGAGCTGAAGTGTGAGCCAGCTGGCCAGCAACAATGGGAGGTGAGGCAAGGCAATGAAAAACTGATAAAAAAGAAAATTAATTGAAATAATAAAGCATAAAAATATAATTTAAACCGGCAATCCTGGTTTTACGGAAAACAGGCCTCATCATATATATCTGATGTTATTCTTCGATGAGATTACAAGTTTGGTTGATAAAGATAACTGCGTAGATGCAACACAGAGTTTGGTGAGTCAGAGAACTCCGCAGAACACAACATGCTGGCTATAAAAACATTACGAAACTTCTGTAGAAGAGAGGTTGTTTGTAGCAAGTTATGGTTGCAGGCCAACCACAGTCAATGGTTGGAAAGCTTCAGCAATCTGACATGCAGGAATTAACACCAGAAAATAAGAGGTTAATCATGGAGCATTATTTAGCAATTCTGGGCACTTAAAATCATTTTAATCCAGCCAAATGCAAATTTTCACAGCTGTCAATGAAGAATGTAGGCTGTACTTGCAGCAAGGAAGACTACTTGGAAATCAGTGAGAAGGGAAAGAGTTAATCAGCTGAATACAAGGCCTTGTTCTAGAAAAAGAAAAGAAAAGGAGAGGAGAGGAGAGGAGAGGAGAGGAGAGGAGAAAGAAAAAAGAAAAGAAAAAAGAAAAGAAAAGAGAAAAGAAAAGAAAAGAAAAGAAAAGAAAAGAAAAGAAAAGAAAAGAAAAAAGAAAAGAGAAAAGAAAAGAGAAAAGAAAAAAGAAAAGACAAACAAATTTGACCTTTGATTACACTAAAAGAAGAAGAGAATTGGAGAATGGATTTTTACCTCTGCATGCGGCACCAGCAAAACTATCCTGGTTTAGCACTTAATTTTTAAGGCTGCTAAATTTTGGAGTAGAAAAGTCTAAAATACTTTAGCAAAATGTTTTACATATTATGTATGGAATTCAATCAGTTTAATTAACCAGCAAGACAATGGAAAGGTGGCTTGATTGCAGTGTGTTTATACATACAAAAGAAGAAAATAGTGGGTATCAAAGGACCCTTTCATCTAAAGGAGCATAGCATAACAAGAAGCAAGGTCTGAGATGTGAAGCCATACTACTTGAAGTAAACAATTAAGAACACACTTTAATAGGGAAAGTAGAAAATTGTAGAAATTACTGAGGAAATGGCAGTTTACAAATGAAAACTAAATGCTAGTTGCTTTTCTGGAAAAAAAATCAACTAAGTTTTCAGGATAAATGCAGGGGTGACTGGCCTTCATTAAATAAAATGTCAAACTAAATGATCTAATGGTCCTTCCTGGTCATAAAGAAAATGAATCTCTGAAGGAACAGACACTGCTTTTTCTTTAAAAAATTGCATGATGACTTTTGGTTTTCAGCCAGTTGAAAACATGCTTTAAATTTTCCAGAGTTTTGACTGTTTTTTCCATTCTGCCTTGGGTATTTCAAGTATATCAGTATAAATGTTGATAAATGTATTTCCCACCAAAAAGGAGATTGTTCAGTCAATAGTTTCTACTGCCATCCATATATTTTTGTATGTTTATGACTAGCTTTACAAAGAGCTGGACTCCTCTGCATTTCCTGGTGAGAACCAGAACACTTTGTCATTGAAATGTCCATAAAACTTTGTTTTGTGTTTTTTTCTTACCTGAATTTAATATTTTGTGAGTAATCAATGAAGTGAATGAACTTGACATACAAAGTCATCGTTTATTCCTATCTTTGAAACCAAAAAGAGCTACATCAGTGCCATCTGCTAAAGTTTTTCATTTCTGTAGCACATGATGGGATCACATGAATGTGGAGCAGTTTCTCACTGCAGCACCATATGTGGTGTCACATTTTCTGCATACCTTCATTGCTACATGATACATCAGCTTAAAAGACAACTACGTGGATTTGTGCAAATTTTGGATCCCAAGCATATTAAAAAAAAAAAAAGATAAATGGAGAAATCTAATGGGACGGGACCTCCAGGACCAGTTTTTCCCAGCATTGCTTACAGCACGTCCTAGTTCTTCCCATCATTTTCCCCTCATGATGGGAAGGCGTTGTGCAGCTGGACCACGCGGCACTGATTCACGTGGTCTGCGCTGCTTGACACGGTTCACACCCACGTAGTGAAAACTGAAAGAAACAACATCCTTTTGTTTCACCAGCAAGATCAAGGCTGTTTTGTTTTTTTTTCTTTCTTAGTGATATAGCCAAATACGGGTTGGTTTATCACACTGGGGAATTCCACTTTGGGAAAACAAAGGATGAAGTGGTGTTTCCTAATGAAAAGCATACACTGCTGCAACCTACAGGCCACAGCCGGTATGAGTCTGCCAAGAAATGTTTTTTTTTTTTTTTCCCCCCTTGTATAAGAGATTTTTTACTCTGTTTTCCTCTCAGTGCTCTACTGATTGTAATGGAATTATTTCTGAATTGTTCGCTATCAATGAAAGGAGAATTAGCTGCACTCTGTTTCCAAACTCTTCCTTAACAAGTACCAACATGTTGTCCTCCATCTATCTTCCTCCCACTCTGGGCATTTAGTTTCTTCTAGCAGTACATTCAGAATTTAAAAAGGAAAAATCCTGCCACACACATTTGCTTAAGGTATATTTAAACAAGTACAAGGCAGAGTTGCAGTCGGAGCTGCACACTTCATAGCAAACCTTCCTCCAAATGAAGCGAAGGTCTCAGGGTAGGCAAATTACATAGAGGTATCAGTCTGGAGTAACCTTAGGCACCTTCACTAGGTTTTCCCCCATCTACCAAGTTTGAGAAGACAATTTGTCAAATAGCCTAGCTTGTATTTCAACTCCTTTACTACAGACATGCTTATAATGCTTGGAAACACTACCTCCTCCTTGAACAGGGTGCTCACAGCCCCTTAGTTTTTCTGATGACAGTCAAAACTCATTTCACATTTCTGCTCAAAGCATCAGTTGTAATTATGAGAAAGATCAACCTGGGACCCCATGGAGCAAGCCATAGGTTTTGCCCAGCAGGCAATGGTCTGACTTGCCATCTGTTCTTCCCTTTGCATTATTTTCCTGTTGGAGGACGGCTGCAACCATCAAATTACAAACTAAAAAAATAACGTGGCTGGTTACACTCCACAAATAATAAATAACCAGATCACCTAGAAGGCAGTACACACAGGACATGGAAACTGTGCTTTTCTGGTCTTTCAACGCTCATTTGCCACTCACATATCCTTTGTGCTTTTGAATACCTCCCTTTGTACATGAACACTTCATGTGCCGTCAATGATTTGCTTGAATCATACACATTTCCAAATAACTACATGGTCCAGCACCTAACAGTAAGCTCTGAAACCAGAAGCAGTTTGTAAATCATTCACAGAATCAAACAGAGAACAGAGCCTAGGAAAAGTACTATTTGAACAGCTATAATATACTTAAAATATTGCAATAAAACATTGATAGTTGGAAATCAATAGGGTCTGACAGACTAAGTATAACTCAGAGGTCACAAATATGAGTTTAACTAACTTCAGAAATATTACCTAGGCTGGATGAAGATGAAAATTGGCCTTTTCCTTTACTGAGTGAAGAAAGTGATTTCCTGCACTGTGATCATGTAGAGGTTTCACCTCTGCGCTGCTGTGCTGCTCTCCTGATAAGAAACTCTTTAATCTCCCTGACCCAGGGAACACTGATTTTCCTGATTTTCCAAAGGAAGTCATAACATGCAACATGCCTTCATCTCAGACATGTCCAGAGCCCTGAACAAAGCAGCATGACGGGACGTGCAACAGAGCTGCAGTGAGGCATGAGTCAGCCTCCTTTGGCCATAAATCTAAGTCATTGCAAAACTCCCTTCCATTTGTTCCATCTGATCCTCTCCTCTGATTAATTTTGCAATGGTGTAATTTTCACAGCACAGTTATACTCTCTGAAGGAGGTGCGGGATCTCTCGGGGAGTTTTGGAACAGTGTTGCCAACTCACATGATTTTTATCTCGAGTCTTATGATTTTTCAGCTTTCTTCTGCTTTGGCTGCCAGAAGCATGCAATGACATGAGAAACCCAGCTACCTTCCCTCTTAATTTTTATTAATAGCAATTTTCTAGTCGTTATGGCTGTACCCTAAAGACCCAGAAATCAAAACGCAAAAGAAAAAGAAGCCAATTTCATCATTTTAACTGTGATTTTTAAGATTACTTGGTAATTCATGAAACCCTGACTCAAGATATTTTTCTATTGAAGTTGGCAGCACTGTTTGTTTTTCATTCTCACTAAACTGCCCCTTAATATATTCCGTCTCGGTTATTAATGAAATGGGGAGTACAAACTTTGTAACTGGAGGCAGAACAGCAACCCAAGTCATTTTTTTGAGGTGCCTGCAAAGGGCTTGTTGGTACTGGATGAGGAACAGGGCCATCAGGACTCTGGGAAGGAGAAGGGATGGAGCTGTCCTAACTGGAAAGACAAAGAAGAGAAAGAGAATATAAACTTGGTCTCCTTAAGGAAATTCCCCTCCATAGAGATTCCTGGAGGAAGGATAGCCTCTTTGAGCTTTTTCCTCCACGAAGAGAAGAGATGGGCTGGCAAAAATCAAAGGCACCCACCATCTGCAAAGCAGGTCCCCATACACATGGCTGAGTCTGCTTTTCCTTCGGTTTTCACAGGGCTGCAACTAGAACCAGAACCAAGGAAATACTGTTCTTGGGGCAAAGAGGAGTCTGTATTTAGCCTCCTTTGAACCCAGAAAGGAAAATGATACATATTCGGCAGTTACCCAGCTTGCAAGCTGGGATTCTCCTTAGCCTTTCCAGGTGCCAGGGGCTGTGCACACAATACCCACAGTGTCACTGCTCTTCAAAAACATAAGGGCTTGCAAATAAACCGCAGGGGTTTAATTCTCTTCTCGGGCATTCAGTAAGGGTTTTGCTGAAGTCTAGTGTGACCAAACCATGCTACTCACAGGCCAAAATCCCTATGTTGTTAATATAGCAGACAAGCACTTATAAAGGGCAGCTTTGCTATGGACAACCAGTTTTGACCCTGAAGAGACATATGACCATCAAAGCTGCTGTTCCTCAAAGGTTGGCAGGAGGTTGTGCACAAGATGCTTTTTCCTCTCTAAGAAGACCTGCTTTAACATCAGTTAGGCAATAAAGGAAGTGCTTCTGCCCAAGAAAACTGTGGCAAAATATTCTCTGGGTGTATGTTCCCTTGCTGAGCTGTAGCACGGTCATGAGCTGGTGGCCACAACATGAGTACTGTCATGCTTGGCATCTTTCTGACAGTGTTACCTACTGAAAGCATTTAATTAACTGATAATTTAAAACCTTCAGAACAAACAAAACAAAACACAACACATTTAGCTCTGATGACTTTGGAGAAAACCTCAAAACCATAACCTGGGCATCCCTTGTAGGCAATAAAAGCAAGTGGTTTTGCCAGGTTTTGTGTTTTGCTTTCAGATACTGTGGTTATAAAGTCAAGCTCATGCTTTTAGAGGACCTGACATGATTTTTGCACGGCAGGAGGCATTAACAACTTATCTGGGCAGTATATTTGAGAGAAAAATCATTTAGTAGATATTAGCTATCTCTGGATAGTAATGGGCCAGTGAAGAAAAATGTGTTTTGCTGAAGAGTTCATTACCATTGCAAGTTTCACTTGCTTTAAAACAACTTGCATATTAAGTAGCAATAATGTAAGCCTCATTAGGAGCTGCTCATATGTCTGGCAGGGAAGGGATATATAGTTCTGTGACGTGTAAGCTCTTCCCAACCTTTTCTGCTGGCAATCTCACCCTACCAAGCTCCTCATCCAGGTGAAGGCTCCCACTTCAGCTACTGACCTGCAGTCATTCCTCTTCTCCTTTATGAATAGCTACTCACATATCTTTCCATCTGTCAAGTGGTGTATTACTCTGTAAGTGCAAAATGGATTACTGGTATGTCCATTACTAGATTGGAGTCACAGTGAAACAAAGTGATATTCAAGGAGGATGAGTAAATGTATCAAAATGCAGTACCCGGGAAGGATTCAGCCCACTACAAATGGAGAATTATGCTCAGCTGTACTGAGCTTTGCCCCAGAGAGGAGAAAAGAGACCTGGAGAGCTAAGTCCTATAGCCTGATATTATATACAATATTATTGGAAGAAGGTTTTTTGACAAATGGAACATGTAAATGTGCAGATTTGCATTTGTAAATTTGCAAACGTAAACTTGCACACAGAGATAGAGATTTCTAAGTGTACTGAATATTCTGGGAATATGGAATGCACCCCTTTGAGTGAAAAAAAAAAAAATCAAGATTTGGTGTATTAATAGCCAGACACAACTAATAATGAAAGAATTTCACCCAAAACTGTAAGATATGTTGTATTTTTCATGCCTCTAAGCAATGAATAATGGCATTTCCTGTAATCTATAATAAAAAACCCTTTAATTTCTGCCAAGTATGAAGTTCTTATGAAGTTAAAGGAATAAAAATTCTGACCTTCAAACGCAGTCATACCAATAGTAATAAACTACAAAATATGGACAATCTGGTTTACCATTATCCCTCAGTTAGATGAGATTAGCTAATCATGCAGTTTAGTTTCCAAACATCTATATAGTGCTATTATGTTTGCTTGTTTGTAGTTCTGGCAGACAAGCCTCAAAAGGATGAAAAACATGATTAAGGATTTATTTACATTTTCTTTAAATACCAGCAGCATTATATTACGAATGATGCTTTTAATCACCTACCCAATTCTGTGCTTATAATGCTGCCTATAAATTCTGAGCACTGATTTATTTTTTGACAAAGCATTGCTGGTTTTATGTGCAAACCTACAGAGCCTGATCTAACCCTCATTAGAGTCAAGAATCAATGGCTTTTACAGACATCTGAGCATTCAACCAGGTCCCACTGGTATCTTTTTAAATCAGTAGCAATCACACAAGAGCAACAGAGAACTTGCAGCTTCATTTCAAAATTTCAAGTCATGTTAAATCTACTGTTTTAAAGCCAGACCTTGAGAGGCAGAGGTGAATGCTCCCTTTTACAAGGAGCAGACCCTCTCCTGTGGGTGGCTTTTAGCAGTAGTTCTAAAATCAATGTACAGAAGAAGCATCTTGATCCCTAAATTTCAGATGAAACATGAAGTTACATGGCACACCTGAGCAGACCCATCGGTTTAACACTGCTAAATGTGGGAATTCCACTCCCTTTGCCAGGGCTGCTCCTTCCCCTTCCTTCCCTCACCCCTTGCTCCTGCCAGCACAGCTCCAGCCCCCACTTTGCACAGCCTGTCCCTTGTGAGACACTGAGTCAGCTCAGACCACTAATCTGGCAGAAAACTATCCACTTTTTCCACCTGGTTAGCCAGCTTACAGCACTTCCCTTAAACCCACACTTTTGCAGTTGCAAAGCCAACTTACCCGAGAACTGCCATATTATCACAACATTATGTAAAATTAGCAGCATCAAAAGCCTTGACCCTGACTTTACCCCCACTCACACAAACCAAGAGGAACTACACTAGCACATAAAAGAGCTGTAAGTGAGGGGAAACTCAAGGTTTCAAGATCTCTGAGTGTCCCAAACTACTCCTGCCTTTGTGGGCTGCACTCTGGCTGCCCACTCATCACCTTGGATGCTGCCTCTGAAAGGAAGGGGAAAAAAAATCAAAGGCTGAGAACAAAGAAGGTCATTCAGCAGCTGTTTCAATCCTATCTTTATTTAACCATAGGCCCCAAGAGCTGGAAAGACTTACTAGGTCATCCTAAGTCAACTGCATGCTAAAGCAGGAATGCACTGTGTAGTATTTTCTTTAGAGTTTTTATCAGTTTATATTTAAATGATTCAAGTAATGGGGATTCCACCATCAGCCAAACTTTGCTGTTTGGAAAAACACACGGACAGCTTACATTTCCTTCCGCTCCTTTTCATGCCATTCCTACTCACTGTGTCTCTTTCTACCAACACAACTTTCCCCGTGCTTCTAAAGCAGCTTCCCCATCCCTGCCATGGGGTCATGTTCCACTGGGACAGGGTGGAGTAAGAGGAAAGGTTTACTCATGTGAAATACAGCTTTAAGCACAAATTCATTTTCAAGCCCTTGGGAATATTTGCACCTTGGTCACTGACATAAAACACAGCAATCTTGGGAATGTCCTGAGAGGTTTTAAAGTGCAAGCTGGTGATCCTGACAAACTAGACCCTGCCCTGTTGGGTGACTCCAATGTCACTATGACAGCTGAATTACTCTGCTTCTTTCAGCTTTTATTTAAGCCATTCAGGCTTCTTTTAAACATCCCTCCATTTACAGCCCTCCCGCCCTAACTGACATCCTTCCAATCTGTGCAAAGGAGCCTTTGTTTCCCCGACCCACTCTAGAGAAACAAGGCCCTTTGCAAATTGCAGACCATCCTTTCAATTATACTTCTATAGTAATGCTGGCACATTAGTTCCACTTATCCTTGGTTAATAGTTCAGCTTATATTCAAACAGCCATTAACATAAAATCAACACAGCAATTTTGTATGAGTTCTCATATCATTAATCCATTTAAAGTGGATACACAGTTCACACTCCAAATTCACTTAATTATTAACTTCATAACATTTAAAGAGGCCATGGTCTTTGGATCCATTGGAATGCTTTGTTTTGTTATTATTTTTTCCCTTCTCCCTACTTCTATAGGTTTTCTGAAGAAGTTAATTTTGCAAGGTTTGGGTAATGCTTGGAGATAGGTCACCTCTGTGGGAAGCCCCCACCTAATTACGGGTTCAGCCTCATGAGGAATAGCCTTAAAGAGCCCATTGGCTGGCTGGTTGGCTCAATTGAAGGAGAGAGGGGAAATGTCCATGATGGGCTGCATAAAATGAACCCCATTTTTCCAAGCCCCTCTGCAGAAGGCAGCCCTGAGCATCCCAACCTGAAGCATCCCCCTGCAGGCTCCTTTTGGCCTCCTCCACTGCCATGAGATTCAGGAAGCCCTCATGTTGTCCTGCTCTGGTGGCAGCCACAAGCCCTGCTGAGGAAGGGGAGATAATTACATCTTCCTCTGTATCCAATATAATTAGCTCTCTAGCTCTGGCACAGACAGTGGATATATCATGATAATTTCTAAGTACTACACACAAAATTAATAGATTCATCAAAATTGTCTATGGAGAAGCTTGTTTGCCTCCATAATTTAATTCAATACTTCATTTTTCTCACTCCTTCCCCATCCCTCTCCTTTCTCTCCTTGTCGTCATCCATGGCAAATGATGTTCGCGCTTCAGCTGCTGTTACAGGGCAAAAGCAATCAGCAAGCAGCGGGTCTTGCATTTCACTTTGAAAAATGGCAGGTTAGGGCTTGTCTGAATCCTTGCACAATTTGTGCCGCTGTTGGAGGCCTTTCCCAGAGACTGGTCTTCCTCCAGTGGCTCCAGTGGGGTTTGGGAGCATGAACGAAGATCTGGGAAGGATCAGAAAGACATTCAGGTGCCATGGAGAAACGTGTGCATGGCTGATGGGTCTGGGCACTACCCCGAGGGTCCCAGTGACAGCAGAGAAGGGTGCCCAGCACCACGCAGTGACCCAGCCTGGATTCTACCTTGCTGTCATGCAAGGCAAGGCTATCAGACTCAAGCAATAGGTAGGTCCATGCTGGACATGCTGTTTGCCAAAGTCCTTGAAAAGTACTTTGTGCCACCCCTGTGATTATCATGGTTCATTTCATTACCTTAAAGCCATTTCTGCTTGCCCTGACTACATAGCAAGCTGCATCTTGCAGTACAGACATATCCTGAACACCCTTTCTCCTCTCCAAGACATCAGGACATGTCCATTTGTAGTACGATATTGGCAGGAAAATGTACTATAATAGACACAAGTAGATACTAATTACATTAGGCTTTCTGCTGGAGAAGGTTCATTTTAGCCTATGAGGTTACCCTGCTTTTCCCTGTCTTTCAGAGAGAAGTGAATGCTTGGAAGATGATATCAGTGGAGAGGAGCCAAAGTTTATTAATGCAGTCCTACCACAGACATCAGCAAAAGCACAATCATATATGCACAGTGCTGCAGGTTATAAGCAAAGGTTTTAATTTGGATACTGTAGTAAAGAAAAGAGCAGAACATCCCAGGACAGATAACTGCAGTGTGTGGTTTATTCTTCTCAACTGGGCCTTAGGATGTTTCCCACGTCTTCACCACACTTAACACTGTTACCTCTTAATTCAGGCACATGGGAATTCCCAGTTAGTGTTTCCTTCAGACTGCTTTTAAAAGAATGGGTAAGTACTTGATAAAACTAGGTGCAACTTTGCGCCTGTTTTATTGCTTGCTTGGTTATTGCTCTGAGAATAAATGTTGTTTCCTATTTGAGATTTGAGTGTTATCCATGCCTCTTACTGGTCCTTTTCTGTTTGTTGTATGCATCTACTTATAAGGTAATCCTGCTTTTACTATAAAACACAATAAAAACATTGAAAGGAGTTGTAAAACTGCCCTAGAACATTGTGACATTTCACAAATATTGGCAAACATCTCCATGTTCTTCCTAAATTTGCCAAAGGTTTTCTAAATATTGTGTTCAGAAAACACAGTCCTCATGAAGAACAGCTTCTCTAAACAAGATCCAGAGGCTGGTTTCAGGCATCATGCAGATGAGCGCTCTCACTGCAGGCACTTATGTGTTCCTTGGGACTATGGTCCCTCTAGCAGTTGCTGGGGAGTTGAAGTAATTGAGAACTTGTCTGTCCCTACCTGAGCATGAAGCAGTGATTGTGGCTCTTGGCAATTTGAAGAGTATCACAGGACAGGAGAAAGCCTACTGAAAACCACAGACTGCTCCTAAACAGCCAGATTCACATCAGGAGATTCATTATATCATCCAGGTAGTGCATGGTGCTCAGCACTCTGGAGAGTGTGACTACAGTAAGGACTGGACCTTGTGGTGGCATTACAGCACAGCCCAGCAGCTGAGCTTACTGCCCTATGGCACAGCCACCACATCGGAGGCTCGAGAGCACGAGAGGCTTTGTAACTGGAACAGCTATATTTCTACCTAGCATTTTTAAGAGGAAAAAAACGTTAAAACCAAACTCAAGCCGTGGAGGTACAGCACATGAACAGGCCAAGGTGCAGAGCACACCCACAGTCTGCCCAAGCAATTTGCATCAGACAAATCCCCATGCAGTGACTCAGACAGCGCATCCCCCAAGCCACGGGTTGGTGCATGCACTGCTGCCACAGGCAAGCTTTGCAGGCAGGCAGCCCTGCCAGCACTAATGGTCTCACTGTGCTGCTGCTCATCCTCAAACACCCAATCGAGGACGTGTCCAGACAAACAAGGCTACTGAGCTCTAGCCTCGAGCCAGAACGGACTCAGCAGCAGTAGTGGAAAAATACCTCTTTCCCATGTGTATCCATTCACTCCTATGGGCAGCTGCTCTTACCTCCCCATTCCTCTCCATACTACACATGAGTTAATATAAACTAACTTGGAGGGCTGCCCTGCTTTCGGGATTCACGTCATGTTGGGCCCCTCGCCATCCTCGTAAATATGTACTAAAGTTATGGTCTGTGTTCCCAGAATAGATCATGTTGTAATCAAATCTGGAATAATGTGGTTAAATATTTTCTCCATTTTACTGGGTCCAGCTATTTGCTGTGAAGAAACATCACTGGAGGAAACGATTTAAGGTTGAATGATCCCAAATTTACACCTTCCTTTTGATGAAGATACTTAAAAGGAAGAAAGGAATTGAGACAACGATGGGCTCTTTTGCAGTAACTGTCAGTGATACTCCGTTGGGGGGGATATAATGGATGCCCCAGATGTAACCAACTCCTGTACATATCTTCCCCTTTCCAAGGTGCTGCCTGAAAGGAGCACTGAGACGCTCAGAAATGCAATCTCAGAGATAAAGGTAATTTCCAGCAAGCCAGCAGTCTACATTCTCATTGACTTCAGTAGGATAAAGTTTCAGAGTGTAGCTGTAGGCCTGGAGACCATAAGAAGGTCCAGTAATGCCCAGTTGTAAATCAGAACAAACTCTGAGAACTGTCTGTCTCTGGAAGATGGAAGTTCCACAGATCCATTCATACACACCCCACGGCGTTGGCACATAGCAGGTATTACAAAAAGGATACTACAGCAGAGTCTGCTTTTCCTTTCTTGCAGAAACAGAAAAAGAAGAGAAACATTTAATTCCCATGTTTGTATGAAAACATAATCCTGATTATTGTATATGCTTCTTGAATGGTAGAAGGACACATCTATGCTTACATCATTTTATTAATGGAAATGAAAGAGGAAAATGAGAACACATGTTCATACCAATGAACAAGACAGGCTTTTCTGGTGTATGTTTTAGACAGATAGGCCTTTCTTAATGCCTTGGATTTTCGCTCTCCCCACTTTCTGCAGTGAAGATGCCCAGCCAACTGTTGAGTCTTTTTTCCTCTCTGTGCTGAAACAAGCCTACCCACAGAAAAAAAAAAACACCCAAACCCCTGTGTCCAGCCTTGTTTCACAGAACTGAGAATTCACCCTATTTTTTATAGAACGCTATCTCTGAATATAGAATTGAGCTCTACCTAAACTCCTTAGATCCTCTCATGATTTTCATTTAGAGCTCTATGATCTTACATAGGCCTGATCATTTCCACATAGATAAATGAGGTGCAGAAAGACTGAACTACTTGAATATAACATAAGAAAGTCTGTGTTAAGGAAAGGACTTAAAGCCAAATCCACCAAAGCCTTGCTGCTGCCCAGACCACTGGAGCTTTATCTGTAAGAGCATCTTATTGGAGCCCTGGGTCACAACTGGACATCTTGTTCCACGAAGTGTATGTTCAGATGCAGTTCTCCTCCACATCAGAAAACACCAATGTCCTGGGTTCAGCAGTAGCAGTCATTTTTCTCCTTCTTGGTAGCTGGTGCAGTGCAGTGTTTTGACTTTCAGCCTGGGAACAGTGCTGATAACACCGATGTTTACACTGACCAAGGACTTTGTGAGGCTCATGCTCTGACAGGAAGGAGGGGAGGCTGGGAGGAAGCAGAGACAGGACACCTGACCCAAACTAGCCAAAGAGGTATTCCATACCACAGCACATCATGCCCAGGATGTAACTGGGAGTTACCCAGAAGGGCACACTCTTCTTGATCGGGCTCATTTCAGCAGGTCGTATCGTATTCTCTTCCCTTGTTATTTCTCTTCTCATTATTATTACTGGTGGTAGCAACAGTGGTTTGTGTTATACCTTAGTTACTGGACTGTTCTTATCTCAACCCATGGGAGTTACATTCTTTTGATTCTCCTCCCCATCCACCCGGGAGCAGGGAAGGGGGAGTGAGGGGGGAAGGAAAGAAAGAGGAGAGTAGAAACTGTGTGGCTGTCTGGGTTTAAACCACACCGACCAACATTCAAAAATTCCTTGGAATAGAAATTCTGAAGTAAATAGCTGCTTTTGATGTAAAGACATTTGGGTTCTGCATGAATTATTTTCAATTTTTGACAGTTTGACAGTTGTAGAAATATAATTTGAAATTCCCCAAAGGGGAAGTGAAGTTTTCTGTTTTTCTACTGCAGATAGAGACCATCCCAATACTGTGTAATTTTCTGGTCTGTCTTTTTCTCTTTTCCCTTAACACCACCACCAACAAAAGACTAAACAGCATGATTTTACAATTTTGATTCTTGTGGAATTCAGTCCTTGACAGAAGGATACTCAATGAATATCCCTGCAAGCAGTCCTATCCTGTTGTCAGGGGTATGATCAACTGAACATCTGTAGCTGAACAAGCAGATTTTGCTCTTTTTTGTTTTCAGATGTGCATGTACTGCCCAAGCACAGGGTTGCTGTAGTACCACTGCCTCTGCCCTGCTTTATTTTCCTCCTTCCTTTCCTTTCTCAATGCAAGTCTTCTGCAGCAGACCGGGGCGTAAGGCTTGCGTTGGTCAAGCTGTAGCTCGCAGCATGATCCTATAAGTGCTAGGGTTCTCATTGTGAACAAGGATACTAAGAAGTATCTGC